ATATGTATATGTATATGTATATGTATATGTACATAAACAATATATTTATATATAATGTATATGTTTATGTATATGTATATATATATACATATTTCTGTATGTACGTTTTTACGTACAAATTAACGAGTGTTGTGTTCTTGTATCTAGACTGGGCGATTCAGCCTCTAAATCGATAGTACATTTTGATATGTATTTTGCGATATTCGTATATATAATGTATATATGTATATATATACATGAATTCATATTTATATGATTGTGTGTGTAAAGGTGTGTATTTCTATGTATATGACAAGGCCCACTTATTCGTGCTCCTGTATACGTATTTACGTACAAATTAACGAGTGTTGTTTTCTTGTATCTAGACTGGGCGATTCAGCCTCCAAATCGATGTGTACATTTTGATATGTATACTTTGCGATATTCGTATAGAAGTGTAGTCTGTAGTGGCGGACTTCTACCAATCAAGTAGTAATCGATTCTTTCCACAATGTTTCTGTCAGGTGATGGTAATGTGGCGCCTGACGGTGCCTTTGCAGTTGACGTAGACGCTGACATCTCGAATGAGGCCACGATAAGGTAACCCAGATAAATCATTCAACGGGAATTGCAATAAGCCTCATTTAGTAATTCTCTGGAATAAAATGGACCTGATTGAAACACTCCGCTTTTTTGCCCGATTGTCTTGTTATACAATACACCCACAGATCGTTTTCAATTACTGATAGCCTCGTGACAACTATTTTGGCATGTATAACAAGAAGCCAGCGACCACATCAATAGCTATATTGTGGTATACAGCTAATTATATGTATAATTCTACTGATGCGCGACAACGATGGGTTCAGTTTACATAAGCGTTTACTTTCAGAGTAAATTCTCTTCTCACTGCTCAATCTATACATACATGTAGATGTGTGTTAACGACTCTGAGAAAAGCGATAAATTGCTTAACACTATTAAGCGCATCATTCTATCATATTGCACAAGCGAACAAAAGTCATCGCAATCAAATTCAAATATGCTGTCATGTACCTTATTAGCAGCGACCACTCAAACATGGGACTTTTCATTCGTCATGTTTTTTTTGAGAAGAGAATCCCTTCCGCACCATTTGGACTGCGTGGGCAATTCTGTCATTTCGTTCGACCAAACTTAATTTCACTTGAAATTGTTGGAAATTGGTCATGTCGTACGTACTAAAAGTTTGAAATAAAATTATAGGTAGCTCTATGTTAAGTTGATGCAGTATAGCGCCGACATTTTCATCATTTAATCTAATGACAGTTATACACCGACCTACTATTGTGCTCCTGGGTTAGAACGCGTGCTTCTCGTGCTCATGGCTCGTTTTAAAACCGCTACAGGCTTAGGACCTCCTAAAGTTGCATCCTGTAGATTCGGGTCCATTAGTACCTGGGACGATGTCTTCAATGAAACTGTGCTTTGGTGAGACTTTGGACCAGTCTGTGAACCCATTAATGTTCGCACCGTAACAACCGCGCGTGTACTCCGAAACAAATCGTTATCGCTACTATTGGAACTTCTGTCACTATTCAAATGTCGAACTCTAGGCGCTGCTTTTCTGGGAGGTGTTGCTGACGGGAGCGACATATCTCCGCTGCTAGGTTCACAAACCTCCAATACAGTAGCAGTTTGTTTCAGACTTGGTGGAGCTTTAGGCGTGACTATCGATTCTACGTCTGTTTCACTGGGGGAATCACGTGTAGATTCGAAGTTAAAATAAGTATAGCGTTTGGCTGTTACGTCGGGGCGCGGGAGCGCCTTAGGGGCGCGTCTGGGCTCAACACTGTAACTGTGTTGCAAAGTACTCCTCCTAGACGACGTAGGTGCACGGATGGCACTGTGTCTGATTGTCGACTCCGAACCACCACCGCACGTGGTACTTGGAGGGAATTCGCACCCTAAAATACTCGCATCGCCAACCTCGAAAAATTTGCCGACAATACCTCCAGTTCCTTCTGGTGTCTCGGTACTATATTCTTCTAGAGGAGCCTGATACTCGGCATTCTTCACTTTTACAATCTTTACAATTTTAGCTTTCCCTGCGTTCTTGTTCTGTTTCTCCGTTACTGCGCGTATTGGCGGTGCTGTGGCAGCCATTGTTGGCGACATACCGTTTGTGGAGTTTTTGCGAGTGTTCGTGATAGAGTGCGACACTGTACGTCTGGGTGCGGGTACTGGGTCCGTACGAGCGGACAAGCCTGCATGCGTAGCTGGACCTGTGCACGATTGAGCAGTGTTGTAGTTCTTTTGGAGTGTATTTAATCTACTCTTCGGCGTAATGCATTTGGGGGATATGGCCCCAGCACTTTTCGAGATACTGTCGGATGAAGGTAACATATTATTATCACTTGTAGGTTTGTTTGAAGCCATAGCTAGCATCATCGAGTGTCTCCTGTTGGACGTATCTGTATCTCTATTGCAATCCTCGCGTACCCTTATCGAGGCATAAGTATTATTATTAGAATTCGTACGTTGAACTGTATGGTTGTTACTATTAATATTAGTTGGCTCTGACTCCCTAACCCTTACTTTGTTTTGATTATACGTGGGTGCCATATGAGGCGCCCACGCATAATGGGAAATATTTTGCTTGTCACACGCTGTGGGGTCGAATGTGAAAACATCACTGTTATCACTCGCACACAACGGATGCGCATCTTTCATACCACTCGCACGTACTGCACTAGTCAATTCAAAGTGCTCACTGTCGCAATCAATGTCTGCTCCTACAATATCGCGAGTAAGCGATTCGAGACTTTTGTTGCTCAGCAATCCGGGTAGTGCAAACTTCAAATTTTTGTTGTTTTCGCCAACATTCACCAAGATTGTGTCGCTTCTACCCTGCCTAGTCACAATCACGTCCTCGCCGGGTGTATTCGGTGGACTAAACATCTTGTCTGCCACCAATTTGACGAATCGGTTGTGCATCAAGGTTTTTGCCATACTTTGACGCCGACTTGTGCCGTTGTTTTGAGCATTAGCCGAAGGCTGCATCTCTCAGGTTCAAAGGTGGATGCCCGTCCGCCAGGCTATCAGTTTTTGTTCCAAGGGATGGATAAGGGATGGATGGTGATATAGTGTTCTGATGGAAGTTTGAAACCACATGAACGTTATTATTATGTGTCGTCCTGAATTGATCTCTAGTCAGCAGTTCAAATCAAGGTTTCAAATGCCCGATCACCTATGGCCCTGCTATGCCTGGCTATAGCCTACATATTTGCCCCCTATAATCATGCCTCAAAATCCGAATCCCCCACACTGTGCCCCGTCGTGGCCGACTCCCGGAGAGAGAGCAATATTCCTTTTTTTTTTTAAATAAATCAGCATTCCTATTTTCTATTTTTAGTTTGTTTTTTATTTTAAAACAAATACATACAAAGATTTTAGTTTTACAAAAAAAAGGGCATAAATATTTAGGAGTTTACTGGGGGAGTGGGGACTGGGGGGTTTGTGACACTGAAGTGAGGAGTCGGGTGAGTGGTGAGTTGGTGACTGGTCTGGAGTCTGGAATTCTGTCGAGACCGCCAGACGCCAGTTCCAGTACTCTACTTTCTAACTTTCTCCGTCGTGTGGTACTTTGACAAAAATCGCGTGTATTTCATTTCAAATTACCATCTCATTGGTCAACATAGGGCATATGGTTCATGTTGTCCATTTTTAAATAAATAGGTGTAAACCCAAAGTGCAAACAATTTTAGAATTTGATGTGCAAAATTGTCCTCCACTAATGGTCGACAGTTCGTTTACAATATCAGCGTTAAAGGATAACGTTTATTCTTGACCCCTTACCCTAATTCGGCTAACAACAGTTCGTTTACAATATCAGCGTTAAAGGTCAACGTTTATTCTTTATTGACGTTAAAAATCTAGAGTTTGGGCCCTGGACTGGCCTATATTATTTAATACTAAAAAATAAAAATAGTAGAACTAGTGAGCCGTGGGAATCAAAACAAATGCAAAAGAACTATTGTTCTATAGCTTTTTTTTCAATAATAATTTGCTCTGTACTTCACTGAGTGCACAAGCCTTAATAGTCCTTTTTTAATACTCCCGACAGTTCTATGAAAATCTAAATACAGTCCCCTCAGGACTCAGCGCCTCAGTCTCGCACCCGCTGCCTCTGCCTGCAGTGCTGGCCCTGTGGCCTTGCAGTCCTGCACTCCTGCAGCCTGCAGTGAGTGTGCCAGTGACCTGCATTCTGTTCTTTTTTGTTTTTTTAACAAAACATCACACAAAGCAAATATTTAAATTACAAAAAGCTTGTACTTTTATTATTTTTAATATATATGTTTTGAAAAAACAAAAAACAAATAGAGAGAGTTTCTCCGCTCTCGCACCATTTTTAGTATTTATTTACTTTTCTCTGTGTCTCTGAGTGAGACTGAGACTTGAGAGTTGAGAGAGTCAAGACTCGGCAGTCGGCAGTTCGGCAAAGGCTCACACAGACACACGCCTAAAACAGCCAGGCTGTATATTCAATCGAATGTATATTCTGGTTTTTAATTTTTGTATAATAATTTACTTTGAAACAATTGGTCCACTTATCTTTTTGCTCCTAGTAATCTAACAAATCTACGATTGCATTTTCAGAGCAGGTTTAGAAGTAAAGTGCCTTTTTGACACAAAATAATTAAACTCCAATCAAAACATTGGTCGTACATACTTATGTCAATAGTCTGATTATCACTGGTTTGTTGAATGTTTTTTAAGATTCCAAGAGCATTTTTCATTATAAAGATCTAATCAGCCATATTTATTTATTTTTTAAAAAAGATATTTTTCAGAATGTGAATTGTGAATCTGATTCTGTGATATTACATATTCAAATTTCAATATTTTTGTCGGTATTTAGGCTCTCCTAGGAGTAGAGTAGTATTTAGACGATTTTTAAAAGCCTATCGAAATTTGAATACCAGAGTTCTATAGGCCTCTAAATTGAACAAGTTCAGACTCAGACTTCAGAGTTCTCAAAACACAAACCCGTACTCGGTGCTGTTGAGTTTTTTTACTGTGACTGTAGTGTAAAGCATCTGTATTTTTTTTTCGGCCATGAAAAAATTATTAATTTTTGTATGTAACTACACGTCAGTTCCTGACATAGATCTTTATTTTTTTATTTAGAACGGTCAACGCGTATCCTTCACGTAAATATATTCCGTATATATTACCGATCAGCGAATAAATAACGGAATGAGGTGTGTGCTTTTCTTTTTCTTATTTATATGTAGTTGTTGTTTGTTTTTAAAAACAATTGCAAAAAAAATGTCCAAGAAGAATTAATAAACACCCAATAGGAAACGGGGTTTTTTGTTGTTTTTGTTTTCTTGTTGTTATGAGATCCCTAATTTCCTGTCCTGATCCCAATTTGATCGTGGCCGGCAATCCCAAGATTCCACAAATCCTTGGCCAAACCCGAAAACCCCTGAGTCCAAAAATCCTAGTCCACAAGGAACCCTAAACCCTACCAGAAGACTTAGGCAAAAATTCTCGGTAGTGTCCTTTATTTGATTCTTGGCTCAGCTCAAGTCAAAGTCTACGATTCAAGTAGTCTTGGCAATCCTCCTCTATCCTTTCTTAATCCCTAGTGTTAAAGTCTGAGGATTGCAAGCTATTAAATAACCCTATTTATACAATTTCCGACAGACCCGTAGCGGTCTAAACGTCTACAGCTAAGCCTAAATGTCTACGTAATGTCTACGAACTTTAAGCTCTAACCTATTCGCAATTTCTCATTAATTCTACGTTTAGTCGTTTCGCAAGGGTCAAGTGATGATGACTCATCAAAATTCTCTGGCCACAATTTTTCGACATTTTACACTGAAATTTCATGAATGGTTCCAGACCCAAAAATATTCCAAAATTCAGATTCCACCGCGAATCCTGAATTTTATCGATTAGGAGTTGCCGACTCCTACATTGTGCAAAAAAACAACTTTGTTTTCTTGTTGTTTTGATTTTATTTTCAAAAAGAAATATAAAAATAAAAACCGAAATGCATGGTCTTCGGAGTTCTGAGAACTTTAAATATTGTAAATATAAATATTTAATATTTTTTACAATTTGTTTTACTTTTGTATGCTTTTATAACACAACATAATCAAGTCTATCGAAATTCCCGAAATTCGGTCCCTATTCTCAAAACCCAAAAATTAGCCCAAAAATGATCTCCAATTTTTTTGGTGCTTGCAATTCCGGTGTCAGTAACTATTTTACAGAAGGATTACGATACTAGCAGTCTTTATTAGTCCTCTTCAGTCCTGGGGTAACATTTCCAATCAGTGGCTAGTAACTCACGTACGAATTTATTAAAGTCCGGTACGAAGCGTGATAACAAATCCGGTAAATGGCTATGTATACCTGGCAAATGTTTTATATCAAAATGAAACGTTAATATTGTATCATGCCAGCGACTCAGTAATTGCGAGTCCGGGTTCATCTCTTTCATATATTGAAGAGATTTCTGATCATACATAAGCGTGAATGCTGTTCCGTTTAAGTAATCTCGGAAGTGTGTTAGAGCTGCCACTATGGCTAATAGCTCGTTTTTAACAGTTGGATAATTCAACTGTGAAGCATTCATTGCTCGACTAAAGAATTGTATATATCTAGGTTTGTCATCTATAGCCTGATATAATACTCCTCCTAAGGCTAAGTAGGAGGCGTCCATTGCTATTTCAAACGGCACGCCATCGACTGGTCCTTGTACAACTGGGGCTTGTTGGACTGCGTGTTTGAGCGCTTTAAATGCGTCATCACACTGTTTAGTCCACAAGTCTCATAGTTTGCCTTTATGACATCTTAGTGTCCAAAAGGTTTAATATAGTCAGCTAAGTGTGGTACTCCATCTGTAAAGAAGTTTACAAACCCACACATGCTGTTAACATCTCTTCCTGTAGTACCTCACAGAGGTCGTTTTTAATACCTTCCCCAGATATATGGTAGCCTAAGAGCTGTATTTCGCTCATTGCGAAGTGGAATTTCTTCTCGTTAATCTTGAAGCTTTTCTCATTGAATCTCTTAAGGACTCCTCGCCAAGATGAATATGTCATCTAT